GCAGCACTCAGAGCAGTGTCTGGCTGAGTTTCAGTGAGTAGATCCTCAGTTACATACTTACGGGCACTTTGCCTTGTTGCTGTGTCACCTACTTCTAACACCACAGTGGGTTTCTAGTTACTGATACCTGCAAGAGGTTATCTAACAAAACTTGACATTTCTTCAGCTTATAACCATTACGAGAACAGTTATTACTTCAATTAATATCCTGGAACCAAGGAAAAGCTGAGTTATGGATAAGGAAGTAGGATGATGAAGCAAGTCTGGTTCTATGTGCTTCAAGTTGTCTGTAAAATGTCTATTAAAGTAGGTTACCAGAGGATCAAACCTGAAGCAAGAAGTTGCATGCTGGCAAGGTTGTAAATTTCAGGAAGGTAGGACACAACATTGTCTACAGTTTTTCAGGCTTTAGCTGGTTTTTTATGGGATTTTTTGCATCATTTCAATTATTTTTTCTCTACTAGAAATTTCCTATTTACAGGAAGTTGCTCTTCTCTATTCCTGACAAAGTTCAAACACGTATGGCCAGGAGTCAGAGCAGACTGCTCTTCAACACTGAAAGATACTGTGCCATCACACAGCCATCACACCTCGTACAGTTCTTCTAGAACACTCAGTGCTTTTCAAGGCAGTGTCTTCCTATAGAAGGTGATCAGTCAGAGGATAGGGCTTGTTTTCACTTTTGCTGCATGGCTATTAGCACATGGACTGTTGTGGGATTTCTTTCTGAGTGCATGCTGTGTGGTATCCAGGTTAGGCACCATACCCTTCCTGACTCCTGGACTTTCCTTGTTCCTGTTGGGAACTGTTGAGTCACCATGTTGTCTGTTTCCATCAGGACTTAATTTAATTCAGTCTTCACAATGTTACTGTACTACAAGAGAGAAAACGGTGTGTCTGATATCATCCACCTCCACAAATCTCCTCCTCAAATCAAAGACTCCCCTACCACTGACTTCTGAAGACATGAAATTTCTGCAAACACAATAGAAATCTGATTTCCATTTTGTCCTTACATTTTAAACACAAAGAGAATATCAAGAAAGAAAGAAAAAAAATTATGTTTTCATGAGACACATGAAATAGGTGTTTGGTGCAATTAAGATTAGTCGCCCTGACAAAATAATTATTTTCGCATGGGTCTGATGAAAATGATTTATTTTCAAAATGACTGAAAGTTGAGCAGGGAGATAAAGAACCTGTTCACCCCATAAGCCCAGTAAATGGTGTTCAGAGAGACTACAATATCACTTTCATTTTCTATAGCGATTGTCCACCTCCTATCCCAGTTTTAATCCTGCAGCTTGTCCAAGAGGATGTTGTCAGAAACATGTCACTACCAAACAAGCTTTAGCGTTTGGGATTTATAAAGTATAATTGATATAATAGTATAATGGATATATTCAGTATAGTCAAAGTATAGACAAATGCCCAGTAGAAGATGTTTTTGAAGGATGTATAATGATATTTCTGTACTCTGGTTGTTCTCTGTCCTCTTGTAGTGTGCAGATGCCACCTATTAATTAATTTAACAAAGTGCATTTAACATTGCATTTAAAAAATACATCCATTCTGTAACAGAATTGCATTGAATTGCTTTCCAATTTGTCAAATCCTTTTGTCTTACTCTTCCCCTCCTAGATCACATTTGTGGCTAGTAAATTGGTTTTTTAAATTCAGCCTCACATACCTTGCTCTTGAGTTAGCTTTCTTCTCTTCAGGACACTGCTGTATACTGTACCTTTAAGTATCCAAGTCAATTTAATTAAATTTCATTACAGGCAGTAGACCTGAAACAAAATAATGAAAGCAGCCATCATCTCAGGTGGTATTTATCTAGCCATTAAATTGAAAATACCCCCTTTAGGCTCTTAAAAATTAGTTTCAAGATTTAATACTAATAGCTTTTGGAATCATTAACGGGTATAGTTTTAATAAATTTGTTACAAACTGTTTACCTTTTCAAAGAAAGAAGCTTGTTCCTTGCTCCAGAAGAAAGCTAAGGATAAATAACTTGAAAGTATTAGGGTTTTGAAATACTGTGAGGTCTGGGAGCTGCCTGCAGTCTGTGGAAAAACACCATGAAAGTCGTCATACAGTGATAGGTGTGCGCCTTGTTTAGTCAAAGGCAATGCCAAGCCAGTACAAAATTTGCCTTAGAGTTTATTGTTTGCCTCACTTGTCTTATTGAGCTGATTTGGCTTGCCAGCTTGGGAGTTTGAAGCAGAATTTATTGAAAGGCCTCATTATAAGCACTATCGTCACCAGAGAGAAAAATGAAAATTTTCAGGGAAGAGAAGAAGGGAAAAACTCCGCTGCAGAAAAAGACTGCTGGTGCCAGCATCCAAGCAGCTCTCCTTGCTGCTCAGGCACCTCACAGTGCTGTGTCTGAGGAAGCAGCATTGACAAAGCACCTGTTGATATCCTGCACAGCCAAACCAGTGTCCTGTGCTGTTCCTGCAGAGTCCGTGGGATGGTGCAGGTGTCAGGGATTTATTTCATCTCCTTCCTGTCAGAAACAGGCTGCAGGTATTAATGTATACAACACCAATGAAATAGGAAACAGTAAGAAAGACTTAGGGGAAGACTCTTGTCACTTTTTCCTGAACAATATGCCAGGGTTTTACTTGAGGGAAACAAGAGTGCAAAAGGAGAGTGTACTTGGCCATGGATGTATCCAAATCCACAAAACTGGAAACATTTCTACCTTGCTCTATGTAAGCATGGTTGATGTCTCTTCTTTTGCAGGCAGAGAGTAATGAAGAGTGAGTGCATCCCTTTTCCTTTTGTCAGATCTGAACTCTGTCCTCTTCATCGCTTCCCTTTCTTCCTTCTGTCTAAAAGAAAATTTATTTTTAACAGAAATAAATTCTTTTGTAGAAAACTGCAACAACATGTGATATAGTCACCTTTCTTGTAAGAAATTCTTAACTCCAGAGAAGGAGAAAGGAGAACAATTTTTCTTCATCAGGATAAAGGCATAGGCTTCTTACATGTTTGCTCCTTCAGTTTCATAATAGAGAAATGAATGCATAAGTTACTGTCAACCAGAGACAAAAAAATAAGGCTATATGTGTTACTTGTAGTCTTGGATAAGATTATTGGACTTAACTATCCCATAACTTAGATAAGATTAATGGACTTACAGCTTTAACTATAAACTATTATGTTGTCTTTAAAATACATGTATTTTATATGTATGTACGTATCATGTATAGTAATTTCCAATTTGATTTAAGAAGTTAGGGCTTCACAGATCTTTTTTTCTTCCATTATCATGAACCCTCCCTCTAGCTTGGAGGATGTGGTTCGTGTAGAAACTTCTTTTTGGAGATGGAATATAGATTGGAAATGTTGTATATAGAAAATTTTGGTTTGAAGAAGTTGTATTAAAGATCAAGTATTTCTTTTTTCAAGTTACTCTTACTAATTTTTATTAATTAACAAGATTTCTCCCTTATATTTTCTTATATGACTGTGATTAAATATGAGGTGCAGTTCAGTGGAGTGTCTTAAACAGGAGCAATAGAGGACAAACAGTCACTGCTGACTCCAGGGAAAGTCCTGACTGTACTGTAAATGCCATAGCCCAGATTTCGTTCTTGCTCATTTTTGTCTTTGAAATTGCAGCTGAGATACACCCCTGTTAGTACAAATGCATTACATGAGGAATACAGTCATTCAGCACCAATAGTTAGGTGTCACCTCTGGCTGTCCTAAGTTGTTTATAAAATTTCCCTCTATAAGAAGTCTATCTTCTTTCCTCCTGCTGTGTCACAGTCTTGATGAGTCCTCTTTTCTAAGAGTCTCGTGGAAAGGGGATTTTCAACCCATCTTCTCTTCTGAGAGCCACGTGCCCATGGTTTCTGTGGATGGAACAAAGTCAGATACCTTGAGCAAAAACATTTTGCTGGATGTGTGCAATTCATTGCTGGATGTGTGGGATTCATTGCTGGATGCATGGAATAGCTGAGTTAGGGGGTGAGAATAGTCCTTACTAGCCCAACCATTAATTATTCCTCTGTGAGCAAGAGGGAAATTCCAGCTGGTTTTTGGTAATGTTTTATTGGGTTTATTTCTTTAAGCATTTTGTTGCAAAACTTGTGTTTAGCACCATGCCTGGTGCGTGACTCGATTCCCCGGAGTCCAACAGAAAGTGGGCATTTTTAAAACTGTGTGAGACTGGAAATTTCAGTGTTACTGATTTAGATTTAACATTAAGAACTAATAAAGACAGTTGCAATCTATCAATACTGAAGGCAGTTGAAATATTGTCATTTAATAAGAACACTACCAGAAATCAGTTTATGCTCTCATGATCGTTTCAGACTAATAATACGTTTTTAAAAATGTGAAGTACACATTTTTGGTTTTTTGCATTATGTTATGGTGCAGGAATAAACCATGAAATATTTAAACTTTCCTTTTTTATTTTTGAACTAGCTGTTTTTAGTATTTGTATTACTTTGTTGCAGTTTTTTAATACATCACCATGAACCCAGTTTTAAATAGAAGGAATAGAATTTCATTCTATATGCCTTGAACAAAGCTGGAACAAAATGCATTGATTCTTTTTCTCTCATGTGCGAGCACGAGAGAAAAAGAGGGCTGATAATCCTGGAACTTCCCAATCTACTTATTCCAAAACTCCATATAAATGAAAAATATTTCAAGCCAATGCTGTTTGCAATGTGAAAATTTAGGTTTGGATAAAAAGGCAAAACTATTAAACAAATAGCCTAAAACAGTGTTAATAATTTGAGTCATTCTGAGATATGTTATTTTATAGAACTTTCTCCATTTATTTTCAATCTTGCGGTGTCAGTACAATCAGCACATCGTATCCTGTACCACCAACTACCCTTACCATGCAGTGGCAGGAAGAAGACAGCAGCCTACCAGTGTATCCATAGTGAAAACACCAGAGAAAAATACTCTGCTTAAAGCAGGGAGCTATGTGGCATTTTCACTGACCATTGTCACCCTTCTTGGTGTTGCAGGATGGATGGTCACAGTATCACTTTGTAGCCTCATCTTCAACAATAGAAAGGGATCGGCAAAGACCGTACTCCTCATCCCGCACGCCCTCCATCTCTCCCGTGCGCATGTCTCCCAACAACCGCTCAGGTAAGGCCAGGCCCGGGCAAAGGCACAGGTAAAAATCCATCACCATCATTTTTCCTAATATCTGGATTGTTGTTCACTCTGCGGGAAGGGCACAAAGTGTATTCTTTACTGTCACCAAATTATTTGGTCAAAACAGGATTTAATTTTTTTTCATTAGCTCCTCGTAAGGTTTTACAGAAGAAAGATTATTCCGTAAGGTTTTACAGAAGAAAGATTATTCCATAACATTTTGTCATAAATTCTCCCAAAATGTTTTCTTGATGGGGACTACCTGATTAGATCCCAGGGCAATGGCATCTATTGGTACCACCAGGAAATTCTGTTGCTCACTTTGCTAGTCATGAAAGCCACTATGTGGTTTATGACCATTTTGCATACTTAGCAGAATTTTAAAGACCCACATTACTTTTTTTGTCAGCTTTTATTCTGGGTATGTATATATACATAAACAAATGTAAGTTTCACAAATTTATCTGCACATCTTCCTAACATTGATAATATATTTATACCAGCTATTATCAATTTTATATGATCTGCGCAATGAACTAATGTAAGTATCTCAACTAATGACATAGTGCAAATTAATTTTTCTATCTAGAAATCGGGTAATCTTTCCCTCATTTTACTCTAAGGTAAAACATACCTTCATTAGATAAAACCATTCCCAGTGAAAATTTTTCAAGGTAAACAGAGTGCACTGACAGTCTTTCAGTGGCCTTTCTGCTGCTTATTCAATCAAATGCTGTCATTCCATAGGTACACAAAGGGTTTAGGATTAAAATTGCCAAACTTATTATTACCATTACGCTATAGGTTTTTGTCAAGAAAATTGTTTTGTTAATTTTCTTGACAAAAACCTAAGAAGCTGTATCTTAGTCCTGCAGAGCAACAATTGAGGAGATGTGAAAATGTAGCCAGAAGCACAGCGAAAGCTGCTACTTTTTAAAATCTGCCATTACACAAGTCCATAAAGAGCTCATCTTGACTGTATGTGCAAGGTACTTGAAATGTCTGGCCCTGAGATCTTAGTTCTTTCTCTTGCCAGAGCCATCTTCTCACCTCTGTTACTCTGAATTTTGGATGAAATTTTACTGCCATCCTCAGTTATTATAAGACTGGAAAAGCACAAATAATAGTGGCTGTTTCTGAAGGAAGAAGAACCCATGTCATTACATACCAGTCAGCTCAATGTCAGTCTAGAAAATTGCGGGAACAAATAATCAGAACCTGAACAGCTCAAAGGTAGTAGGAACAGAAGATATTACTTAGCTCTAGGAGTATCTATTTCTGCATAATAACATAAGTTGCTGTATGTCTGGTAGTATGCATATCAAATTCAACCATTGATTCAATACCAATTTCTCTTATTAAATCCATCTGTATTCCTGCTACAAGAATTTGCAGAAAGAAAAGTCAGTAAGTACAATATCCTATGATCAGTAAGACTCTTTCACACAACATTTTTATGGAAAAGCCTAAGGGAAGCTAGCCAACAGTTCAGAAAACATCCTATGTGGTAAATAAAAAACTTACTGAAAACCATTCACAAGGAAAGGGTATTGTTTATTGCCAAAATGGCAGAATGCTGTGCTTAGAGCCTAGCTTGGGTCCAGTACCCTTCAGTGGTTTTAGTAATATGCAAAAGTTACCTATTAACTTTGTGGGTGACGTAAACCTGGGAGACACTCATGTTCTTGGATGGGCATTATTGAAATTCAAAGTGATCCTGGGAAATTTGAGGTAATGTTCAAAGGGAAAAAATTAACCAGTCCTTTAAAAATAAGTTATAAGGAGAATGGCTGACTAGGTGATGTTCCTAATTTCTAAAGTTCTCTGGCGATTTTTGTCAGTTGCACACATGAATTGGAAGGTGGAAAAATTAGGATATGAGAATATACTGAAAGGACTGAAATTGTTTAACTCGGGTAAAAGAGACATGAGAAGGAGACAGTGGGAAGAGGTACACACCAAGTCTTCAAGCATGTAACAGCCAGCCATGAAGAGGAATAGTGTGAACTTTTTCTGCTTTCATAGCAGAAAAATGGAAATAATGAGCAGCAAGGAGTCAGGCTAGACATTTCCTAGCAGTGCAGAAAGCAAGCACTGGAACAGAGTGCTTGGAGCAGTTATGTGATCTCTGTCATTAGAGATCTTTAGTTCCAGATTAAAATCTGTCAAGAATTATGTTGGTATACTGGATCCTACCTTGGGGTAAGGAGTTGAAGTAAACGAACTCACACCATCCCATCCATCCCTAGGACTGGGTGATAAAACACTTTTCTGTGTCCTTTAAGAATTAGAGCAGAAAAACATTATAGCAATTTTCAGTCTAATATCAACCAAACTCTTCATCTTTGCTTCCAGTAAAAACTCTGAAAGAGGGTTGATTCTGCATTTTAATGCTTTCCAGAAAGTAGTTTTCCTCTCATGGGAAGAGCGAGGGAATTCCCACAGGGAACAGAGACAGATGATTTTATCTGTATCAGTCAATTTTGTTCAAAACACCAGAGTGTTTATAACCAATACCAGAGTATGTGAAACAAAATGTGTCTCTCTGCTAGCAGCTTTTTCAAGGTTTGCATTCTGGCCCTCTCTCCATTAGACTCAAGCTGCCATTAGCTGATTTGGTGGTTTAACGTCATGTTTCTTTATATCTGCTGGATTATCAGCTTTAGATTTACATCACTATTGGCAAACAGTTTAAAAGCAATCCCCAATTCTAATGGCTTCATAAGAAAGAACATCTGTCCCGCATTTGCTCTGTAAATTCAGAGGCCAGAGCCAGCAAAACCAATCGAAGCTGAATTCAACATCACTTGTGCTTCCCTGCTCCATAGTTGAGTGCAAGTACCTCACTGTTGCTCAACTAAAAAATGTAACATAGTTTAGAGATGCTGGAAGATATGCCTCAAGGTCAGTCTTCACAAAGCGTTTGTATTACATTTTTAATTTTTTTTCTTTTCTTTGTTTATGAACAAAGGGGTTGTTACTGTTTTTGAGCTTCTTTTTATATAGCAAATACCTGGATGGAGGCAGGGAAGTGTGTAGGGGCAAGCACCAGTACTTTAGTAATGTTTGTGCCACTGTGCCCTTACAAGGCTCTGGGGAGCTCTGCCACTCACCCTGTGCTCCTCCTGCCCCCCACAACAGGGAAAGTGCACTTTATTAACCAGTACCTAAATATATTGAAGTCAGTTCACTTGAAAGCCATTATTTTTTTCCTTTGCTTTTCTCCTTTTCCTAAGCATTGCAAGCTCTAAGGCTTCATGATCAGTGACAGTGATCACTTCCACATTCTCCAGTGTGTGAGACTTGAGTACAAAGCTCAGTTCTCTTTTGTGCTACCTGTGCTTTCCTCCTTTTAGCTGTACCTTGAGTAGAGGTGATGAAGGCTTTAGTTTTTATAAAAACAGCTTAATGTAGCAGTTGTTGCTTTAACAGCAGTTATTGACACATATAGCTGTTTAAAGACAGAGAAATTATTTGAGTTACCTTTAACTGCTAGGCATTCTTTGATATCTGTCTTCTAGGAGGAAAAAGGCATTCTTTTCTTCCCTTTTCCATTCAAATAATTTAATTTATTTACTTTCAAGAGAAAAGGGTAGAAAATAGTTTTATAAGAGTTTTTCCCACGCAGTTGAAAGTGAAGTCTTTTCAATGGAAATAAAGTAACCATTTTGATGAAAAAATAGAAGTGCCCATACCAGAAAGTTTTGTTGAGTTAAAGAAACTGAAAAGCAAAAGGAGAAGAAAAATATTGTTGTACTTTTTTTCTTTAATAGCAATCATCTTAGATGTTGGATGTAAGTAAAAAGAAATTTAACATTTAGAAATAAAATTATGCTTGCAGTTGATTGTCCAATAAATACATTTGCCTTGTCCTTGAAATAACAGCATCTCTTCTTTTCCTCCATAATGTGGTAGTGTTTCTTCAATCAGCTTCATGTTAGAAAACTAACATATGTAAACTTTACAGGAGTGCTTACTCAAGAGTTAAACCCTACTTTCAGTCACGTATGATTAAAAAAAGAAAAAATTCATTTTTGTTATCTAGCAAGTGCCCCAGCCTCACCTCGGGAAATGATCAGCCTAAAAGAAAGAAAAACAGACTATGAATCAACTGGAACTAACGCCACTTACCATGGAGGCAAGGGAGAACACACTTCTAGGAAAGACACCATGACAGGTGAGATTTTGCTTGCATAGCATATATATAAATCAGCTGTGATAGAACACTGATTTTATAGGATTGCCTGGGCTTGCTGCACTGTGGAAAAGGGTCAACCTGCTTTCGTTAATTCCCAAGTTTTAGCCACCTTGAGAAATACAACTGAAGATATATTTGAATTAATACAAGACTATGTGAAAATGATTTGTGAACACCATGGTTCTTTACAGAAGAAAGGCTCTAAATCAAATCTTGCATGTCTTTTTCAATTTTACATTTGTTTTCATTTCAGGAGGAAGTTGGTTGATCACTTTGAATTAATTGGTGTATTTGAGCATGTGCAGTGATCCCTAACATCTGTCTTTTGCAGGGAATCTCTCCAGGATGAGTTACCTTATTTTGTATGTCAGTATTCATAGGAAGTTTGCGGCTCTTTGTAAAGTTTATCCATGTTACTTTCCTAGTGGGGCTGATTTAAATGCAGTAATTTCTGTGTATGTTGTAGCATCTGTTGCAGGTCTCTCTGAAGGCCTCTCTTCCCCAATGAGCTCATTAATCTCTTACCATGTCAGTAATTAGGAAATCTTGAGTGTTTTTCCCGGCACTGTACCTCTTCATGAATTCTCTTGCAAAATACATGTTGGTCTCCATCACCATTGCACCATCATGGGGCTGATGTAACCATTATTGAACTTTTTGTCACATTATACAGCACCAAGCATCACGATCTCCTCCAAATGCTGCCTCAGGGCAGGCAAAAAATCTCAGTGAGAAGTCTGATTGCCAGTTACCTTCTCGCATGCCCTCTGTAGAGGTCTTTCTCAGAGGCAGAATGAGTTGCTCACCAGGAACATGGTGACTCAGCATCAATCCCTCCATAAGATCCATCTTTCAAGGCTGTATTCAGGATATGAAGATACTCACACTGTATCTACTACGTTAAATGTGATTATGTAATCAAACCTAAAGAGCAGCCTTGGAACTTGTGTGAAAATGCAATATGGAGTGTTAATTAGCCTGAAGGTGAAAATCTGAAGAGAAGAATGACAGTGAAGACATTTGAAAACCACAGAAATTCGGAGTGTCCTGAATGACTTCGGTAGGGTACTACGGGCAAGTACAGAAGATTCAGTCAAGGTACTGCATTTTATGTGTCTGTCTTGTTTTGAGTGTTCCATAGTCACTGCACGAGGTAGTTTTCTATAACAGTTCAGTGGCCCTTACTTGGCTGATTGTGAAGGACAGCACTGATGTGTTTTTCAGCCATTTGTCAAGGACCCATAAAGGGTGAATCTCAGGAATAAGAGCATCAGGCTGAAAAGGAAAAGGCAGAATCAGTAGTATTTTGTTCTAGCTGTATCTGTAAATTCAGATTAGCAAATTGTATCAGGAAGTTCACCAAAATACTGTGTCTCCATGCTGAAAATGTGGGTTTCCTTGCATATAGTCTTGCCTCTGTCCACACGTTAAGAAAATTGACTTCTTTTTTCACACCCCTTTTCACTTTCTTTTTGAATGTGGTGCTTTTGTTGTCTGATTCCTACTTCCCTTAATTCCTTTGTCTCGCAGTGTAATTTTCAGATCATGGGGTTTATACTGCCTCAGCAACCTTTACTCCACTTTGATTTCTCCATTGTGTTTTCCTCTAATATTGCCTTGTATTTTTTTCTATTTCTGTCGATTATTTGGGTGGGCTTTTAATAAGGAAACTTGAAACTATTAGCATCATACTCAGCTGTCAGCTGTCTTTCCAGCTCCTGAGCTCAGTGAGGGGAAAATAAATCAAACTAATTCAAATCAAAAAATGTAATATTTCACAATCGCACATGACCAATGTACAAATAAATATGGAATTAACAAGTAACTTTCTCTCTTTCAGATCACCAAATCTCTGCACGTTTGGTCTAAGCTCAAATTAAGCACCATTATAAGAACAAAAGAAAATGACAGAAGGAGTTTTGCTCATCAATATTCAACATGGAATTTATGTAACATAATTGTACCTCATTAAATAATAAATATTTGATTTTAAAAAACATATAAAGTCAGTATTTGTGATTTTGTGAGACATTTTGACTTTGCTTGAGTGGCCCAGTACAAGTTCATGTAGCACATTTCTTGCGATGTCTGCGTTTCATTTTGTGCATCTGACAGTGCATTGCAGCTGATACATCCACGTGGGTGGGACTTAGATGAATGTTTTCTCAGGTTCCACCTGGCACACACATATTTTGATCTGCTCTTCTACTTTTGTGCCAAGCTGATGTATTACACAAAGCTTGCTTTGACTTAGGGATTTTACACAGAGCGTAGAGCCAAAGATGTAGTCCCAATTTATCCATGACTGTCTCCATGCTCTTCTCCAAAGCTCTTCTCAGTTTATAGCTGAAAAATTCTATGACCTTTGAGCTGAGACTGAAATGAAGGTTTTTTGATGGATTCTCGAAGTAGGAATGTTGGCTTCCTGCCATCCTGAGGATTTGGCAGGAAACCTCTGAAGAAAATGGAGAATCTATGAAGTAAACAGTTTGGCTGAAGATGGTAACTTACATTGATTTCACGAGGATAGATAAAAAAAAAGAGGCACAGTATCAAAGTTTTCATTGCCCTCTTCACAGGTTTATGATGCCTTTTATATGTACTGTCTATTTTCTCCTCTCTGTAGAAAATAATAACCAATTACAAAATTTTGTCACCTAAAGTATATTTTCAAGACAAAAGCTATTATATTCCATTTAGGAAAATGGGAACTGTAAGTGCACGTGGTAATGTTATTTATGCCATGTTGTTTTCTTTCAGAACAGGGAAGATAAGGTCCCTGTGGACCATTATGGGACTCCTTCTTTGAGGTTTCTTTTACTTTTTTAGTTCCCTCAGTGAACTAATATGTACATCATAGTCAACATGCTGTGTCTTCTCTTCCAGCAGCAGAGAAAAACATCTAATTAATTTCTTTTTCCTTTGGTTGTGGAGAATCAATCCTGAATACTTTTGTTATTTAAACTTACTGGCAAGTCCATGCATATTTGGAACACAAAAAAAACACCATCAGGTGCTACAGGTGCTCGGATGATGATGATGATGATTATTATTATTATTGTTGTTGTTGTTGTTGTTGTTGTTGTTTTCAGAAACAATAATGCACTGTAATCTTTTCTCATGCCCTTACCTAATTTTTCACTGTGCAGGAAGGTGGCAGTGATAGTGACAGGTAATGATCTCTGTTACCTAAGATTTGTGAGGTACAGAGACATTTTCCTTTACTGTGTTGAACTAAATTTTCTTAAATGGAGACCTGCTGCTAATAGCAGAAAAAGCAGGTTGTGTGATACCAGATGAAGATGACTACCTGTCCAGCTGAGCTGTCCTTTCTTGCTATCAGTTTGTTCCTGAGGGCAGAAGGCTAACATCTGGTTATTCCAAAGTGTCTGTAAATGTGTTCAGAATAAGCACTTCCAAGATCTGAAAGCTGAATGTTAAACTATTAATCAAGTGACTGGGATATCTGGGGATGAATTTGGTCAATGACATCTTTGTCACATAAACCACTGAGTAACATAATTTTCAATTTTTGTCCTCTTTGAAGAAAACTGCTACAGGCAACTATGTGACTTTTTTTTTAACCAGTATCACCTAGAAGACTGAACAGAAGGGAGAAAGAAAGCTGTTTTTCTATAATGTCCTTTATGCAACTGAGCCACAAAGTACTGCAGGTTGATCATAGTATTCATTTTAGAATGCTCACAATTTTGCCTCTTCAGTGTTATCATGAACTGATGTTTAGAGACTGCATAAAATACACACATAAACACACACGCTGATCACTTCTCTATTAATTTAATTTTCAGCTGGTTCTCACATCTCTGTGAAGAAATGTGGCTGCAGAAATATCTCTGTTTCTTTCTCCTTTCCCTCCTTTCCCTTCTCTTGCCATTTTTATTTTAAAAAATACTTTATTGACTTCTCTTTCCATTTGTTTTACAGTTTTATTATAATGATAGATATATAATATTATCAGGAAAAATCAGATGTTAACCACACTATCTGTCCATTCATCTAGCTCATTCTCTCCTTTCTTGTATATTTGTCCTCTACTTTTGGATAGCAAGAGTCAACTGCTCACATTATCATGACAGAGTGGGAATGGAGTTCCCAGGGATTCCACCTGCATGTTCAGAAGCAGATACTGGAGAAGGGCTGCATTCACTGCTAGCAGCTACTTTCTTGACTTACATTTCCTTCAGAATCAGAATTACCTCAACCTCCAAGCTAGCCTAAGCCAAGATTTCTTACTCTTGAACTCCTGGGATTTATTGTCAAGCATTTTATGTCTCATTGTTTTTATTGCTTTGAGAAAATATTACTAAGGGTTTGAGGAGGGGGGTTTTTTTCCGTTTTTAACTTTTGAATTTGTATCCCCATCACTGCAGTGAAATCAGCCACACAGAGCTTGCAACTATTTTCATAAGCTGAAATTATCAGTTTTCCATTGCAGAATGTGTGATCCAAGAGACCATAAAATTTCAGTCTGGTATGTGACATTTGTGAGCACATCAGTGCAAATGTCACAGTAGTGCACTGGACAGCTACACACCAACTCTGAACTATTTCTAGGTTTATAATAGTCATGGCTAATAGCAGAACATATGTACCACATGTCTTTGTATATCTCAATATGGAAAGGTCATGACCTCCCTCCTAATGTCTAATTGCCTGAAGGGACAACAAGCAAATTAGCATGTGTCCAGTTTGCTATTTTCATCAGATTCTTCATAATACCCTCAGATTACAGTTGCACCTTGTTATCAGTCTTTGCTCTTGACATCAAACAACCAGGAACAGCATTGACCTGTGTGAACTCAATATGTCCAGTCATGTCTGACTAGAAACTCACATGCATGAAACTTCCAACCCACTTGTCTTGGCACATATGTTCATAAAAGCAAAATGGTTACAAGAAGTTCTTCCTCCATCTAGCCAGTCCGATACATTGAATGTCACTTTAATGTTTTTTTAAGAACTAAGACTTCACAAAATGGATGTCTGAAATACTTAAGTATCTTTACATCTTGAGAAGAAGAATTTTTATAACAAAACTTCTGGCATTTTGTGGGACAAGCAAGAGAATCAGAAAAACAGCATTAAAAAGTTGGGATCAAGGAAAGATCTGGCAGCTGTACTACTGAGAGTCGTGTTGTCATGAGATGCAACATAAAGAGCAATGTTGATGCAAACTTCTCTAATACTAAAGATCATCAGGAGGGGTATTTTCAAACACCACAGCAGAGGCTGCAGGTGGAATATAAAGAAACCCACTGAAATAACAGTCAAGTCTCAAAAATCCCTTAAGTGACAAAATGTAACCTGAACAGTGACAACCTCTGCAGAGCAACTCTTTTGGCATTAATGTTGACAACATCTTTGGCATTAATTTTGACAACCAAAGAAAACTACTCAAGCACTACTTTCCATCATTTCTCCTGTTTCTATCTGTTACAGCCTGTTGGCATATAGATAGAATTAAGAGTATCTACCACAGGAGGAGCCCAACCAGCATTGTCACTAGAGTTCATATTCTTGCCACCTTAAAAAAAAGGGCCATGCTGCACTTGGCTCTGGAGCTCTCCTCCATTTCCTACACAGGACTCTGCACTCTCTTAGTTATTGCATCCAGCTCTTCAAGGAACAAGAGGAGTTTCACCCCTATCAGTTAATGGCTGTGAAATGAGAAGTCTCTTTTTCCAGCTGTTAGAGCGCATCAAGCCACAATATAAGCCCTGCGTTTATCTTGTTTTTACAAACATTGTGCAGATGTTTAAGAAAAAACATCTGAGATCTGTAAAGCAGCAACATGGAGCAGTGCATCAAACTGACAAAAATTATACCCTCAGCATGGAACCCATGGCAGATGTGAAGACCAGAATTGATGTATTCCAGTCAGCTTTGGCTGAAGGCCATGCCATTTCTTTCTTCAGAAAGGGTGCAGAGGTGGGAGGAAAGGTAGAGGAAGTTTTACGTGCAGATGTCCATGTTGTACATTGCCAAAGGAATAAAGAATCTTTACATCTTCATTAATGTGGTTCTTCCTAGTGATGTGACTGGCATGGATCCCATGTCCAGCTTTCAGCTCTGATGCTCAGTACTTGCCATCATAAGTTTTGAGCTGTGAAAGTATTAAAGGCCACTCCTTGTGCCTTCAGGTCTTTTGCCATTGCACAGAGACCTGAGAGTGATCACGAGCCATGTGTTTCAGTTCCACTCGTGACTCTGTTTCATAGCTACTCAGTTTTTACTTTCAGGCCTGTTCTTTTATAGTAAGAGTCCTTATAACAGCATTCAGTCATTGGTTAGAGTGTCTGGAAAGTTAATAATGCATGAAAAGTGTGCAGCAGCCACACAAAATGCTATCTTCATAGTCTTTCAAATATGAGAAGTAGCTACAGTCTTTCAAGTCTTACCAGCAAACTAAGCTTCAGCTACATTGCCAAATCAGAGGGATCGGTGGAGTCAGCTTTGCCTTTGCTTTTCATTTGGGGTTTTTTGGGATGGAGTCAGAAATAAATTTTTGCAAGACTATATATCATCCTCCTCTTTAGAAATACTTCCAGTTTCAAACTCATAGCTCAGTTTTGTCTGTGCATTTGAATAGTAGGACACCTGAGTAGAAAGTGGCAGCAGTGACAGCAGTCATGTATTTGAGACTGTCTTGGCCAGACCTCTTCAATATAACTGCATATTACTTTTTGCATAACTTTTTGTCACTTATATTTAATCACTTTATGCTTGAATAATTTCATGATGAAGCAGAATTACTGTAGGATTAATGATCCAAGTTGTCCAATTGAAGTGAAAGAACTGAAATGTTTCTTAATCTCAATATTTACAGTTGCTGTTTATTACATGTGTTACATAAGCCCATCTATAACCTGAAATTTATTATTAAATGCTAGATTTATATGAAATTATTTTGTTGATGCATATAAGAAGTGCACAAGATTGTTATGAGCATGGCATGGAGCCTGTTACCATTAATAAATGAATACTAAAGAGATGCATGTACATCAAAGCAAAGATGATGACCATTCAGTGGGAGGAAAAGCCTGCAGATGCTTTTAAAGACTTTTATGTGTGGGAAACAGGCTTTGTATGATGTACTTAATGAAGAATTCAGTTTGAGGCCAAAGAGGCATGTTTGGTAAACCTGCTTTTTCTCTCTCTGCAGCTCAGAACACTGGAATCTCAACTTTGTACAGGAATTCATATGGTGCGCCTGCTGAAGATATCAAACATAACCAGGTAAGTACAGAGACTAAAATGTTACTGTTCCAGATGGCAAAAGACTGGTGCAACATTGTATATGGAAATGGGAAAAATTTAAAAACATCACAGATAAGCACATTGCTTCATGTAGAATTTTACTCGTGTGTCCAAATCAAACAACTGTGTTTGAATATGGGAACTGAAATGATGTCCTGAAGGTAATTTACTCCTTGATAGCAGTTCTAGAAATAGAAACTAGAGTAGTTACACTTTGTGCAGTTGTAATATCAGACCAAAACTTGTAACATCACTTGTGGGACTGCTAAAAGTTGTGAACTTAGGCAGCCTTTTTCAATCCCTTCTTAGAGTGCCATGCAGATACTTGTTCTGAACAAATGTCAAGGAGTTTGGGTCATAGCAGTGCGACTGTTCCTGCCATCTTGAGGGAACATTACTAACATGTACAGAGCAGCAGGATCCACAAAGCATTCTCACATTGGTGTCTCAGCATCAGTATTCCTGGTGATAACCATTTGAGGAATGACAGGCTACCTCATTTTGCAGCCACAAAGTCTGCCCCACCTTACAGAAGTGGAATGTAGCAGGGGATAGTCTTGTAGGATAGTAAGCATGTGTTTATACATTTCAGATTTCAATAAAGTCTCAGCTATAAAATCAGAGATTCACTAGGGATGTTGGAAAAAAAGTATGGCAACCGTAGGTTAGAGGACTGTCTTTGAGCAGAGGTTAAGGTAATGCACAATTTTGTATTTTTAGCATGAGAAATGTAAGCGAGATTAACTCCTTTCATCCTGTTGCCTACAACAAGTTGTGTCTAACAAGGTGTGGGTGTTGCTGTCTTTCAGGTTTCAACACAGCCAGTTCCACAGGAGCCCAGCAGAAAAGATTATGAACCATATCAGTCATTTCAGAATTCAACAAGAAACTATGACGAGTCCTTCTTTGAGGACCAAGTGCATCATCGTCCGCCTGCAAGCGAATACAACATGCACCTGGGACTAAAGTCAACTGGCAACTACGTCGACTTCTACTCAGCTGCTCGTCCCTATAGTGAACTTAACTATGAAACAAGCCACTATCCAGCCTCTCCCGACTCCTGGGTGTGAGACTTGGGCAGATACAAAAGCTCCAGGAACTGTGCATGTGCATGCATACCACGAGACATTTTTTTTCCTGCAAATATAGTTTGTTAAAGCCTGTTCCATAGGAAGGCACAGATAACCAGTATGGAGAAAATTAAGAGATTTTTTTTAGAAGGCTAAAAGATATGAAAGCTAAACCTGGGAGTAATTAGAAAGAAATATATATACATATATATATTTTACAGTGTGGGGCAACTTTACTGTTGGCCTGTAGAGTCTAAAGTTCAGTGCTGTATATTGAATGTGGCTGAAGGAAGGAGGAAGAACATGACAGTGGATCTGGGTCAAGAGTTAAGCACAAGTTACTGAGCAGCATACATACTTTATGGGGAACAGCTTCTCACACCTTGTTTAATATCCTCATTCATTGTGAATCTAGGCTTCAAGTTGCATTTGGGGTTTCCTCTGTACAGCAAGATGTTTCTTGCCTTTTGTTAATGCATTGTTGTAAAGTATTTGATGTACATTACAGATAAAAAAAAAAGGTGCATTGTGTATATTACACCAATGCCACAGTGTTTCTTCATCTATGGTTCTAAATATTGCTTCAATTTCAAATTTTGAAAGATGTATGAATTTCCAGTTTTTTGTTTTCTTTTCCCCGGTGCGTTTTAACAAAAAAAAAAAATCAAAAAAAATCAAAAAAACAAAAAGGAATATTTAGCAGTATTGTTTGTTCTGATATGTGACTTTGTTTGTGGCAACTCAAAAAAAAGGCATTCAGCAGTTTCTGACAATTAACATTCATCATTCCACACTCCTTGTCAACAAAGTGCTTTTTCACTGCCTAAAATTTTAGATGTAGATATTTGAAATAGATTTTTTTTCATTTATACCAGTTTTCTTTATGATGATACAGTGTTAAAAGAAAATAAATTACAATTGATCTGTCATCCATATTTGCTAAGAATGTCTATTTCCAAGAGCCTACCATACAAATACACATTCTTACTCGTGTGTGTCCATGTATGCATAGTATTCCGTGTGCGTGTGTTTGAGTGTGTGTGTTTGTGTGGCGTAAGACTTCTTTTCATCCAATGTTCTCCTTGTTAAGCTTCAGTTTTTGTTTGATTTTCAGTTCTTTTAAACAGTGGAAACTCCAGTATGTGCTTTCTCTTACTCACTTCCGTAACCATCAATAGCAATTCAACATTGCTAGGCCACATGCTCACAAAAGAAGGGGTAGCTGATTTTTTATCACCAGCTCCATCACCCTTAGATGCCATTTCCTTTAAAATAACATCTTTCGATCTCCTCTTGAGGAAATTTCATTACTCTCCAGCCACCAACCAGTAAGTGCTCAAGGAAGGCAGAGTTTGATCTTGCCATCTCCCTGAGGGAATGAAAAACTGAGACCCATCAGACTTTAATCTGGACTCTCCAAACTCTTTTGACTACAGAAGGGTCCAATTCTTGAACCATTAGGACAATCATTTATTTTAACCCATACCAAAAATAAAACCCAACACCCAGAACACATTCCTCAAATATGATAATAAAGACCATTTCTGTGCATTTAAAGTGAAATTCTAAAAAATGTAAGGGACAGAGAATTTTTTTTTTTTTAATTTTAAAAGTAAACAATAGCTACATAGTCTAGGAGGCCAGAAGAGCTGGCATATTCATCCTAGCACTTTTAATGCTGGAAGGAAAAATAGAAGCATTTCTTCATTTCCATGATTCAGGCAACAAACAGTTCAGCATACAGTTTTCAGAGCATAAGACCCACAACTAATGGAGTAGTTGTAAATTGCTTCAATTGCCAATAAGGAATTTGTTTTAGATTGCAAACATTTCTGTGGTTAGTCACTGTAATAGTTTTAACATCACCTGGCACACTTCTGACTGTGCCCAGGGGGAGAAGTCTCTCACAAGTCATCACCTGCTCTATAGGATGCAGCCCAAGTAGTTCATGCAGGCGGGTATTGTGATGTAGAATTGGTTTATTGGTAATCTAGGACTATAGTTTAATCTTTTGGGCAGCTTTTCCCAGTGTACGATATGTAACCTTTGCTCTTTGTAGTAAACAAGGGGGAAAAAAATAGCATGCAAAAAACTTTTTAAAAAATTTCAGAAAGGGTGGGTGGGAGGGGCACAGTGGGCCAGATGTATAGTGAGGTAGATAAAAATACTATTCATAGTTTTGGACACAGGTTGTTTATATTTTATTTATTACATTGATTTTAATAAGTGACATTTGCAGTGCTCTTTTGAACAAAGCACATTTTCAGTATAAAAACTTTTTTTTAATAAAGAATGTCACTCGCAGCTGGAAGTTCTTCTTGACTGCCTGACAAGCAGCAGGCTGGTGCAGCTCTCCAGGCACAGGTTTGCCAACAGGCCGAGGGGATGCATCGTTCTGTTTGAAGCTCTTAGGACAGGAGATCATTGTAAGTTGGATATATTTCCATTCTTCAAACTACTGAAATGCCCACATTGCCCTCTTTCAGCTCCTCTTAGGGATTACTTGGAGTCAAATGTTGACCATTGCTCAAGTGAGAGATTCTGGATTGATGACGTGGCATAAAATACCTTTTGTCTATACTTTGTGTTGGTTTGTTTCCATTTTTCTGTAGTGGCAAGTGCTCCGACTGGTAACGTTCACTCTTGCTGTACTGGGTTTTGAGAAGGTGTTGAATTTCCCGGCTTCTTTTCCAGGTTTGGAAATACAACACTGCTGCCATACAGAGCAAGATATATATGATGCATTCTTTTTAATACTGAGGAAAGTATCATTACCTATTGCTGTTCCCTTCATTCTTGTACTAGATCACACACAGAAATAGAGAAGAAACAAAATTGTTCAAAAAAAAATGTATAAAATGCAATTGATGTACTGTAAAATGTCGGATTTTTTTTTAACAAGCTTCGTATTAGAATCTTGTTCAGCTGTGTAGAGCTATATAAATCTCACTGTTTTATTAAATGCTGTTTATGGTCTGGAAGGAATGGTTAACCTATCTCAAGATTTAAAAAATTTGCACTAACATGAGCAATATTGATTTGAAAAAAAATAATATGAATTCAATATTTGAAAGATAAACTATGATTTTAAAGGTATATTAACACTGAAAGTACATTTTGACAAATAACATATTTAAGCCCAAAATATAAATGGTTATGTCAGATAACACAAAAGAACTATAACAATATAGATTGAGAAAAAAAAAAGTGTTTCACTGTACATGTTGCTAACATGTACAAAGACAAACTCATATTGACGTATTTTCTATTAATAAATCCTACTGTATTGTGGAGAATCGCTGGTCATAGTGCAGTATGTTAAAACTCAGAAGTTGACTCTGGAGAAGCTGCCCAGCTTCACACAGCAAACAGATCCATGTGATTTAAGTATTTTAAATATTGATCAGAAACCTAACTTTCAGCTCTGAAGTCAGTCACTGCCCTCTCCCTCTCCACAAGGCTGATGAGCACAAGCTGCTCTACATCAACCAGCCAAGGGGAAAGATATTTTTGAGAGCACCCAGTTCACCCCTAATTATGTCTGCAAGGGTTCAGCTGCCACCACTAGTAGAGAGAGTTTATCTACACCCCTAGAAAAACCCTGAAAAGCTCAAGGCTGGTGCTACTGGATAGGAAACATGCTGTAAAATATATGATCTTGGCCACAGGTTGCATCGACCACAGCCAAGAAACAAAGAGCAGAACATTAATTTACTTGTGCGTTGCTGGAAGACCCAGCACACAGTGCATATAAAGGCTCTGGAATAATTGTTTCCCAGGTTCCATGAGAACTTGCAGACACGTCTAGCCAGGAGACTTGCAACTCAAACCAGAAATGCTGAATCTTTTTGTACCTTGGCACAGCGCAGGCTGTGCATGCCAGTGCATGGCAAGGAAGGCTTTCTCATCTCCTCTGTCACTGTTACTCATCTTCTCCTGCCAGCAGACAGAAAGAGCCCTGAGTTTAGAGTTATTGCTTGTATCATGAGTGGGAGAGATGGAGACAGCAATCTGAACCAGGGGGAGGAAACATAAGGGCCTAAAAATACACTCAGAGTGTGTGCCTGAAGACAGATCCTCACTCATAATTACTAACAGTGGAACTGACCCAACAGGAGATTTTATACAGCAAGATCTTCAAATATTACCATCAAGTTAATGTAATGAACATTTAATAGTAGCAGTGTGATGCACAGAAAGCTTTTTGCTAGAAAAATGGGAGGGGGTGACAGAGAGGAGACACAGGTCACCACTGGGCACTCCCAGCTTCAGCCAGCAGGTGTTGGGCATGAGGGCAGAGGCTGCTTACTGCTGTGAAGGAGAGGGATGACTCTCGAGGAATAACTTTAGGTCCAAGCCTTTCGGATTCAGTCAAAACAACATTAGCTGAAACAGAGGCCACTTTTTGCAAACCTATCCCTTGCCCCACCATCCTCAGTGGCAGAGTGAGGTTCCCCCTGGCAGACACATGGTGCACATGGGGGACAATCCTATCAAGGGCCTTGCAAAGGCTCTTTTCTCTCAGCTGGAAAATACCTGGTGCAGGTGTGTGTCTGACTGCTGCCAGAGCCAGGGCTGTTGAGCAGCTGCAGCCACTTTCAATTTGAAGTCCAGCATTTTCCCTGGAGGACAGATGGGCACCAACATCTGCCAAAGAGCTGTGCAATCCTGGCTCTTTCCCAGGGACTAGACAGTTTCTAAATAGTGGCCTAAAGCCAGTTTCAGACATTTAGGCTGAAAGGAGAGATTTGAGTTTCATCCCTAGGCAAGGGGGCTGAAGCCTGCGGTTGGTACCTGTAAGGAGAGGGACATCCCCACCTTCCAGGCTGTTCTGAAACACAGGAAGAGAAGAGAAGAGCTGTACTGACTATTGCACACCTGACAACCTGTGTTAGGAGCACTTGCTTCTAACTTGTGCTCTGCTCTTCTGAGGGCCAAACCAAACAGCTCCACACAACACAAACATTTCTACTTATTCCTTGCCAGTGCTGCCCCTGGGTTTTGCACCCTCTCACCTGGGACACATCAGTCCAAAGAGCAGCACACCACAGTTCTCTGCAAGTCCAGCAAGGCACATGCATGGGTACTGGTGCTAGTCAGGTGCACTGCTGTAGCAGGACACCATGCCAATTCATTGTTCTTAAACATAATTCTCAGTCAAACTCACTTTAGTATTTTTAATGCAATTTTAAAAGCAGTTTCCTTCCTCTGTGAGCATCGGTACTGCCTTGCCAGAAGAAAGCACATGCTAAACTCTTACAACCTGGAAATGTTTAAGCTTACACCCAATTTCAAAGCCTATGGAATTCCCTGGAAAGATTTCCATCAGCTTCAGCAGGCCCAAGTGAGAATAGGTGAAGAATTGATCCAACCTTCTCAAAGGAGTACCTCCTCATCACCGTCACTCTTGCCAGCACATCAAAGGCTGCAACTTTCTAATAGCTAACAGGAGCAAAAAGTTATTTGCCAGTACCCATCTGTCAAAATTTACTCTAGAGCCTTTGCCTTTCTGCACTTTTACTTTCACTGCTTTCAGAGAGTGACATGGGTAAAAGGTACTCACAGTGACTGATAGTTGCAGTTAATTTCAGTAGCTGGATGAGTAGTTTCAAATGCTGAAATATCTTTCTTTTTCCAAGCAGGTAAAATCTGAAACTTACCACTAAATCTAGGAAAGCAAAATGGCAGTGGTTTGCTGATTTTTTTCTTTTTTTTCACAAATTCAATTAAAATAGTAACTCTGGAAATGGGGGCTGATTTTTACAAAATTTATTTCTTTCACATTAATGTTACCTAGGCAGAAAATGTTGATAGCTAAACATCAAGACAGTAACTTGTTTAATAACATCAAGAGAAGAGAGAAAATTTGTACCATGGAATTCAGGCTACTGTGGGCAGGCAATATCAATTATTACCTCTGTCATCAAGGGAGAGAGACAGAAAAAAAGCCTCTTCCACCATTTGAAGCCTAATATCTTCTTTAGCAAATATAAGTCCATTTTGAAAAAGACTTCTACTCTTTCCTTCAGAAAAACATCACCACAAACAAACAAAAACCCACCACCCCAAAACCTCTCAACCTTTTCCTTAAGCTACCCTGGGTTTGAGTTTTGTATTGGGGTGACAGGAAGGGAGGAGAATTTGCACTCTATGCAATATTTGAACAATATATTGTGTTGCTTTTTTTTCTGCCTAAGGTCTGTGGATGTGGGCAAGAGCACCACCCACTGTAGTGCTGTAGCAGCATTAAGCAAAAATTAAATCAAAGTATGCCAAATAGCAGCTGCATTGCCAAATGTGACAGCCACCACTTCCAATACCCTGGCTACCACTGCAGGCTTGTCATCATGGGAAGGAAAAAAGAGAGTGTCAGCCTCCTGTTCCACAGGCACAGCCGAGAGCAAAGGAGTGAGCTGTGCCAAGCTGCTCAGGACAGACAGACTGCCTGCGGCTGTTCCTGCCACAGGGCTGAGTGGGACAGGTTGTGACAGAGTGTGGGGCAGCCACAGCCTGTGGGAGCACCACGGGCACGAGGATGTGGGGCTCAGGGGTGGGCACAGGAGGCAAAATTGGGCAGAAGCGTCTCAGACCTCGGCAGGGCACAAATGCTGG